ATATATATCTTATTAACCAAGCGCGAGGGCCGTACTGGGAGAATATCGGCCCGAGGTCTTGACAGTACGGACCGAGCGCAGCGAGGTCCGTACAAAAAAGACCGAGGGCCGATATTCTTCCAGTACGGTCCCGAGCAAGCTTGGTTAATAAGAGATTTATTACACGACTGAAGTTCAAAGGGACACAAGTGCGGTATCATTCGGGACCATTCGGGACAGTGCCCGGTCCAATACTGAGAGAATATTGACCGGCAATAGAGCATTTTGATTGGTTGATTTTTACTTATTGGCCCTCTGACTTCCCGAGTCGTGTAATAATGGGCGTTATTTTCAAAGGGATTTGTTCCTTAAATAATATCCTATTTTTCTTCTTTTAACCGAGAAATTCAGGCCCATCAGAAACATTAATGAACTATGATTAACATTGCGCTTGGAAAACTCAGTGCATTTAAAAAAGAACATTGAAAAGATCAGACAGGAGTTACGTTGATAGGTATATAACCTAATGCACAAGGTTGAATGAACAAGTCGAAATAACCGTCAATACCAAGCAATATCTCTCCAAACGCGCAAGAAAACGCGTCATCTCATATCCAACGCGCGCTCGTGGAATAATTGTTAATTATTTTTCGAAGGAGTGAACTTAAATCCTTAGCCAGTTCCAGCGCACTTTAAATAGATGCGTGAAGCATTAAAAAGACATTCTCTTATTTTGTAGGCAAGGTCTTTCTATAAATTGGAAGTTCACTTTTTTTTATGGCGTTGGTTATTCTTTCCCAATTAAAAATGAATAAAATTTCTCAAAAGAAATAAAAGGCAGTAGAACTTAGTAAAGTCCAGATTGGTCATTCTTCTTTTTTGTTATAGGAAACAGGTATTTCGGCACAAAACGTCGTCAAAAGCAATTTCCAAGCCATTAAAGGCTCCAAATCTCATCCAAGACTAAAGAAATATGACCGAATAAAATTGTTCCCGGTGATAGGAATACTCGGGGAACGAAACCCTTGGTCATAATACTTTAAACTGATATCTAGAATCGAAAAGCAATGGAACAAAACATTGCTTGGCTTCTCACGAAGAGCACGACATTGAAGGGAAGACTCACAGATAGCGGCCGCCTCCCGTAGAGACACCTGGGTAAAGGTAACACTGAATACTGTGGCGCTGTTATTGTTATTAAAACACATATCAGTCGGCCAAAGTGTAAACCTTACACTGGAATAAAAGAACACTATTATGGCAGAACCCTTAAAATGTAATTCAAACTTATTTCTCCTTGTTTACCGCAAATGTATAGTTACTGTTGTGCATGTTTGACACTTTTTACTTTCTCAGTTATGTTTATGGCCTTGATTGCTTATCGCTTTGACATGTTAATATTTTCAACCTTTTCACCGTTTTAACGAGGAGGTAGTTAGTAAACTCTTTTCCGCTCATCTAAAAGCAAAATTCATAGAAATCCTATACCTTTTTTGAACGACAGAAATGGCCTCGGGTAGATTTCGCACCATTGCCTTCCAGTGGCCAGTTTTTCTGTTTGGCAACCTTATAGCTGCCATGAATACAAGAAATAACCTCTATATCTGAAAGGGAATCATCCTAATGGGATATTTGTTCAAAAGGAGTTTAATTTGTAAAAGGAGTAATTTAACTGAAAAATAAACAATACAGTATTGTTTAGTCTTTCGCATCTTTTGTTATAATACACCTCTTTGTCACTGCTCGAGTGTTTATTGAGTACCTCCTGTAGTGTAGCAACTGAGTGCCTGTACATTGTGTATTATAGAAGAATTTCTCTTTAAAGTGTACTGAGACCAAAGATTGCAACACTTCAGATTATCTTCTGCAGGTGGAATTCAATGTAGACTTTGTTGTCTTGTGGGAGGCTAAGAACTGAGGGTCAATCTGTTGAATACTGCCACCCTAACCCTCTGTCCAATTATCTTAAGTCACGCAAATGTCATTTCTATTAAAAAAATCAATAAAGATAATTTACCAATCTCAACCAGCAGACTCTGCCAGATAATAAGAACTAGAGACTCAAGTTAATCTAAAAAACTTGACACGTTTCTTCGATGACGTCTGTCTTACCTTTTAAGGTTCAAAGTCGGTACGCTTAGCAAACTTCTGTATAATTGTGTACATTTAAGAGAAAAATAAACTGAGACGATGGTGTCGCACAGTGGTAATATATTTTATCCAATCATAAATAAACGGGACGAGAAACCCACATAGTCTGTGCGGGAGAAGGACTTTGATATCATGTTTGTTAATTATATAGAGAGTTCGCATATTTCCTGTTTGCGGAACTCGATTTTTTGATACTTTCCGCACCTTTCTTCTCCTACCAGTCTCAAAATGCAACCTCCAAGCCTTGCAATGAAAAATTAATTGCAATGCAAAACGTAACTTCTCCTTTTTACTTTTCAAGACTCAAAATGCAAAAACAACCCGCGTGACCGGTGTTCAAAGTGGAGCCAAAGGTGAAAGGTTATTTGAGCAGGATAGTGTGAGTAAAACTCAGTTTTCAATGAAGGAAGATAGCGCGTCGTGCTCTCCTCCGTCTTTGCAGTCGTACTCACCTATCCCTCTCTTTTTCCTATGCAGGTCAAGAACGCAGACGATAGTTTTTAGGGTTCAGTGTATTCAAACATTTTGATTACCACAAAAATTTGCATAAAATTTAACTAGCTGACAAATTGCTCGCTCAATAGGGAAACGCCTCAATTCAAGAAACATTTCACTTATTGCATGTTTTCTAACCTTAAATTAGTTTTTCTAGACTATTTTCAACTCTGGATTAAAAAGTTCGTAGAATTTCTCCTTTTCTAAGATTTACAGACTACGAATAAATCCCGTTAATTTGTGTTTCAATGAATTTTGGAGTGTTTGACTAAACTGTAAGAAACCAAACGCGCGTTTCCGTTTTTGAAGCGTGTTTAAAGAGACACAAGTTCAATAGGGCTAGCGAGTCCTGAAATGAGAACTGAGTGTTGCTTGAATTCTTTCAACTACGCTTTATCGCTTTCACAGTTGAACAGTTTTCAACTGAGTGTCGAAAGAAGTCCGAATTGCCTGGGTTTTACTATACTTTGTTCTGTGATTGGTCTAGAAAGCTTGCGCCACACTCTCCGCCAATCAGATGCAAAACTAACACCAATCTAGACTTGGTTGCCCGAGTTTTCCCGCCTTTAGATTTAGTGTGAGTTCTCATTGGCTCTCCAAGGTTTTTCCTTTTCTTCTGATAGGCCATTGTGATTTCATCTTAACTTGGTTTTGGTTCTACGACACTCGATCGAAAAAAAAGCCCTCTAACAAAGACGATTTCCCATTGATTTATTCACTTTGACTGGACTTCGACATCGACTTTTAAAGTCGGTGAACGTTAAGCTCTGCTCCAGGTTAGCCTTTTGGTAATCTGACCAGTGCGTAAACCCATTTTGATTTGTTGACTACATTTGTTTAAATCTGATTCTTACCAAGGTTCTTTTGCTGCTTGATTAACTTTTTTATGGCGCGAGGGGAATTCAGAGACTGTCGACCCAAGGAAAGTAACAATGGCCTGGTATTCAAAGCTCATAAACAACTGGCAGATCCAAACTATCTCCTGTTGGGTCTTCGAGCTCTTTATTAATTGGGCTTCAATGAAGAGTTGCTTCAAATTAAGTTGAGTCCATTTATTTTTCCCACTAAAATACAATGACACTCATGATGTCTAGATCTGTGTACCGCATGGCCGGTTCCGTTATTGGTTTAACTCTTAGAACAGTTTGCAATCCGTTAACACAGCCAACCCCTTGTTCCTTTTTCGCTTTATTGGAGTGAGCCTATCATAACAGAGCAAGTAAACAGAGTAAGTAAACATAGCAAGTAAACAGAGTAAGTAAACAGAGAGAGTAAACAGAGTAAGTAAACAGAGCAAGTAAACAGAGCAAATAAGCAGAGCAAGTAAGGTCTGTCATGCGTGAGATGAGAAGTACTCTTCTTCTCGAACACTACTCTTCCTTCCCCTTGTGCTTATCTCTGCTCGTTCATTCGGCATGTCGCGATAACAACAGATCAGATCAGATAAGAGATGTCTTTATCTGGGATCATCTATGTAGCTGGAGGATTTTCGAGCGCCCAATGAAGATGATCAAAGTGCGAAAATGAGAAGCGATGATTATTCTTTCCCAATCCCTTAGCAGGTTAGCTTCCCTTCCATTTTCGCGGTCCATCGCTCAAAACTGTCACTTAACCCTTTCACTTCCAAGATCTCATTAGTAATTCTCCTTACTGTCTGTCAGACAGTTGCTATGATGTTAGTTTGGAGAATTTGTCATTGGACCAACTAATAATCCCTTAATTCATATTTTCCTTTATTCTCATCACTCGCTTGCTTGATATCATAAAGAATTGTTAGGAGAAATTCTGTTTTGGTCACTCATGGGAGTGAAAGGTTAACAGTCACGCAATCCGCCCAGCTACTGTAATGGTATCTGCTATTCTGGGTTATCAATTTGTAGCTTGAAATCTCGGTCAGTGAACCGGCTTAAAAGTTGAGCATTTCACAAAGTAAGTTATTTACAAGTGGCCTAATCTGATAAATTCACATAAATTTCATTATTTTATTTATAACATTTCCTTTTACTAGGCTAACTCTTGTTCATTCTCTTCATAACTATCTTTAAGGTACGTTTATAAATACTTCACTAAGCGTTTTGCGGATTTTCACATCCGCATCTCCCAACCAACCAAGCTTGGCTATAGATATTCGTGAAAATACGAGAATCGCTTTTCAGAAAGCGCTTCTCCTCTTAGGTTGTTGAAACTTCAAAACCCTTCCAGCAAAAAGCTCGGTAGCGTATCGATAACTCCTGAAAGGGAAGCGCTATGCTGTGATTCGTTTACATTTACACTTTCATTCATAATTTTTGTTTTCGCCATGTCCTTTATTGTCGCCAAATTTCCCATTATTCTACAATTAATGCATAAAATATAAATACATAAATAAACGAACAAAGAATAGAGCCAATTTTCCCTGAGTGTCGAAAGTAATCTGAACAACGCTCTTGCTTTACCTCGTTTTGCAGTCGATCGAGAAAATGCGTGCTACCCTTTCAACCAATCACACACTAAACTTAACCCTGGTCGTTGGCGTTTTCCCGCGCTTTTCCCCCTTTTTACTTTAAGTTCTCAATGGCTCTTGGTAAGATTTACCTTTGTCTTGACTAGTCGTTTAATTTCTTTGGTTTTGTTCAAGCGACACACAATTGAAAGGCGCACTATCATCATACCATATGCATAGCTTTAATGAAACGGTCATTCATTCAATAACACTGTAAACAAGACAAAATTTAACATATAACGCTTCATTAAACCGATAGCTCGCCATGGCTTATTCTCTTTCCAACCCGTTCGTAAAATAGATTTCTTCCGCTGACAAAAACGAATACTCAGTCCGTAGTTTAATTTCTATCTCCTTTAAAATTTGTACATCCACCTGTGCTGTAAGATTCAAAGCCATGCAGAATGACTCTTTAAACTGTGTCTGCCCCTTGTGAACTACATCCACTATAGGCTTTGACGGAGTTGACCTGAACGCTTATCTTTATTGCAGTGTCTGCATATTTTACCTAACTAGTGACTTTACCCTCACCCAGAGCGGAGTACATCAGTTGAGTATTGGTAACTACTTATATACGTTTAATCAAAGTCAAAAACTGGGCCAGGCTGATCAAAAGCTATCTAGCACTATTCCAGGGTTTACTGCATAATGTTACAGGGGCTGAATTAAACTCAACTGTACTTTGAACAACTCTGCCAGAGCAAACTCCATCTGTTACGTCGGGACGCTTGAACCATTTGGCACTCCTTCGGTCCTTTTTGATGTACCCTGATCAACCACTATTTCAGGCACCTCTTCCACAGCACCTGGACTTTGTGGACTGTCTTTTCCTTCTGGTCCATCAAGAGAAGGCCAACTGGTGGACTGCTCCAATTTTTGAAGCCTTTCATTTAAGGCTTTCAGAGCCTTTTGTCTGAAAAAGAAAAAAGAAGCAGCGTTTGTAGTTTAAGTCTGTGAAATCTGTCAGTTTCTTTGCTTCGACAAAAAAGTGTATTCACAACAACTTTGCAAGAGACTTAGCGGATGAGTATTCTGAGAATAGGAGATTGAAATGGAGCGACGTTTGGGAAGGTTACATTAAATTCGTTGGAAATACACAACCAATGGTAAGGTGTCTATGGTTGTAGAAAGAGCTTGAAATATCCGTCAGTGTCCTCGAAATAAGTAAAGAGTCTCTTCAAACATCTTAATGAGAAATTTAAATATCCCCAGTAATAATTAGTTATATCAGTAAAATGTCACTTTATCTACTCAATATCTATCAGCTGATAGATGAAGAGCATGAATACAGCATATGACAAAGCCCATTTGCATTTGAATTTACACTTACTTCTACTAAAATAAAGAATTTAAGAATTAAACAAGTTTTCTGATATTTACTTGACCAGTTTGTTTGTAATTTTCTCTCTGATTTTCTTCATTTCTCCCTCTGCATGTTCATGTACCTTGTCAACAACTTCGTGAATCAACTGCTAGGCAGCACCCAAAACTATCATCTACCAGAAAAAAGCACTGTACCTTCTTCTTTCAGCATCAGCTGGATCCATTCCTGGTAAACTGATTGTTATTGCTGATGGTGCTCCCACATCATATGTTCTAATAGGTTTGTGGCACACTTTCAAACGAATCATTGTGTTGAATATAATTGTTGATATTGTCCTCACTGGTGGCCTTGTCAGTTAACAAAAGAAAGCATAGCTGTTATCAAAATTCATTTCCTAACAAATTTCAAGAAGACAGCTACTATCAACTCAGAAAACCAGAAAACAGAAATATGTCTGGAATGTTTATCATGATTTGGCCAGTCACTATAAGGAAACGAGAGCAAATCAAACAACCAGCAAATTAATAAGTGTTTCTGCCTTCAGTTAAATTTTCCCGTACCTAATTGGTTGTCCTTGATGTCACAACAACAACATTCAAGAAATGTTTCAGGCATTTAAGGTTTCCTGAGTTTCACAAAGGTTGAACGATTTTCCACTAAGCAACAGGGAACATATAGTAAGCTGGCCACAACCATTGAACCCTAAGAGCCCTCATATTTAATACTTCTCATCACATCTTTGCTGGATAATGTATCAATAATGTAAGTAAAAGTTAATGCTACTCATTTTTGGAAGTTAAAAGTCAGATTAGTTGAATTACATGTAAGGTACCTACTTATAACAGTTCACTTACTGTGCAGCCTCTGGGAAAAAGCTCGCACAGGAGAAACTTTCACTCAGGTCTCCTTTAACCCCTTTGCCACGAGGCTGATAAAATCTCAAATAAACCCAGCCAATCATTGTTCCTGATAGAACCATGACCAGAAGAATGATGGGAAAAACACCGAGTATGCACAGGATGCTGTATACAAGAACAACTAAAGATGGCACATGCTGCAAAAATATTGATAAATCATAAAAAGTATAAATTTTCTCATCATCACTTGTAACTTACTATTTATGGTGACTTTGCAGGACAACCTCTTTTTTTTCCCTTTCTAACATGTTTTATTTATTGGTGCAGTTCTCAAAAGAATGTTGAGAGAAATGGTTTAATTGGACACCAATATGAATGCAAACTGTACCAAGCTGAAGAATATTAAAAAAACATAGTTCAAAAAGGGTGCTGCTCTGGCAACATTTTCACTGAAGCTTAAATAAAATTTAATTTTCCATCAGCACACATGTATACATAGTCATCCTAGAAGAAAGTGTTGAAAACAGGGTGAACTCTGAAGAGAAACATCAATCTTACTACTGGCCCCCATTTAAAATTTATCGCAACCTAAGTAAATGGGCAATGAAAAACCAACCTTGACACGAAGGCCAATTGAGGACAAGCTTACTTCCTGTTCAGGTTTGATCTGTTTAAATGCAACCATCATCCCAGATAAAATTCCAGTCATACCACTGAACTGTAAGAACCTTGAAGTAAATTGGAAATGTTAGAATAAAATTGACAGTCTCTGACTTCCTTTCTCTCACTATTAACTGGTTGATCTATGCCATAATTTCCTGGCACCAGATCACTTCTACACAAGCCCATTGGGCCAGAGCTTGTCTTAGTTCCTGAGGCATACAGAACTTGGAGTATTGCAACTCCCCCTGGATAGAAAGTTAACCCTGAACATGATACATGATACAAATGATACATGACTTACCACATATGCGTGTCAAATGTTGCCACATATGCTATTACACAAACAGCTGAAGTGATAAGTGATGTTCCTATATCTAAGATCAAGACAAATTTCTACAAAGAGGGAGAGAAAGAAATCAAACATTCAGCCAAACAATAAAAATTATGATTTGTTTTTTCAGGCACATGCAGTTGTGATGACTTCTATTATTGATATTTATAATAGTAAATCACAAAGTATGCTACACTTACCAAAAATTCAAGTGCTCCCCAAAGAGGCTCTAATAGCTGCCCACACAACACAAGAACTCCAATGTCTATGAGCATCTGAAAAATAGCAAATGTATCCATTTGCCTGTTTTTTTTTTTTGTCTGTAAGTCAGTGCACATACAATGAGAAATCATTTGACTCATTTTGTCAGTTCTAAATGAGCAGGTCACCTGATGTAGAAGGTCTGAAAGTCATAAATGTACAAAAATAATAGCCCATTTCCAAATTACCCTTGGCCTCATTTTCAAATTGAGTCCTGGTGCTCATCCTTTCATATGATAGTAAGTTTTCATTCACATGCAAATTAAACTCATTTTCACAAGAATGGTTGAGTACCAGGCCTCATTTTGAAAAAGAGGCCAAGGGTAATTCGGGAATGGGCTTTTAAAACTGTATACTTATGTTTTAGCTTGAAATAATCAGAGATTGGCAAACACTTACATTCCATACTCTATATTCTATAAAACCTCCAGTTATTAAGGTCCATATTCTGAAATGTGGTGGAATAATGCTACAAAAAAAAAAAATCATGTCATTAAAATACAAATAAAATTAAAAACATCACCTGGCAGCAGTTAAAACAGTTATTAACTTGCTATATCTGAGGCAGATGCAGGGGTGGTTCGGGTGGTTCGGGTGGTTCGGTCAAACTCCCTAAATTGTCCCTCAAAATGCTGGAAATCATGTTTCCGAAGACCTAATTTTCAAAATCTCCCAGGGGAGCATGCTCCCAGACAATTTTCCGAACCTCCCTTGACTAAATCCTGGATCTGCCCTCGTATATACAAATAATGAATGCATTTTTAATGATAAGCACCAGGACTTAACTCCAGAGACAAGTTTGGGGTTTGGAAAGCAGAAATAATCTTAACCTGGTTGCATTTATTCAATGGTTTGACTACTGTAACCCTTGTCCATTGGACAATATCACTCACTTTCTTACAACCACGACTGATAAATTTCAAGTATCACATCACTAAGTAATTACATCATTTACACCCAAATGAATAAATATTTTTTAGCACTAAAAATCATAAAAAATAGTGATAATACCACAGGCACGTGCACAACTACTACTATTAATACAATTAAAAAAATAATAATGCCAAATGTAATGTCATATTTTTGGCTTAAATCTTAAATCAAAACCAGCTTCGGTCAGGGCATGCATCAGAAGTATAGGATTAGCATAAAGCTTAAGTACCATTTTTCAAAAAAGCCCAAGATATAATTACAGTTTAAATTTGTAGCCATCATTTGAATTCTAAGAAAAAGTGCAAGTTAAACAAAATTTCTAAAAATCGGAAAAGGCGGTGAATATGGAAATGTAATTTATCAAAAATTTCATTTGAGATATACAATCAACACGATACGAACTATAAACAAAAAGAATGTAAATTTTTAAACATAGCAACTTACAATCCAGGGGTAACAGCTAGCACAGAATAGACAGTAGGCAAAAAACTCAAGCAATACAACAGACACACAGTTGCACAGGA